TTCGAACTAGAATTTGTTGACTTGACGTAAAATAAACTTTCTTTTAATTTCATTGAGACTCTCGAAAGATTTTTAAGATGTTGTATAAATTAATAAATTTGACATAACTGGATTCGTTTTCAGAAACTCATTTGAGGTCACCCATATTTCCGTGCGAAGAAAAACAATGAGGAAATATTCAAATATTTGCACGCTTCGTCATGGTTTTTAAAACGGATGTTCTGTCATATCCTTCTCCAGAATGAAATTCCTTCGCATGTCATTGACCCGCGATTATTATTTAGGATATTGCTGTCACATGTTATGATTGTGGTACTCCTGCATTTTTTTTTCATTCAACTCAGATAGATGTATATACAAATTTCGGCGCTTCAGAAGTATGTGCACCAAGACCAATATGGAGGTAACTAATTTTGTTCGCCTATTTTACATCAAGTTGTGTAAGGGAACTGGAACCTATAGGCAGCAGGATATTAACTTGGCTAACATAGACAGTCGCTGAAGTCATAATCGAACTGAAATAAAGAGAAAATCAGAATAAAATTATGGCCTAACCCTAACCTGGTACACATACTTCGGGAGTACCAAAGCTTTTTCTTGTGTTTTCGAAAGTGTGTTTTATTTTAGCATGCATATTCATTCAACAAAGGGTATACAAATATATGGTACTTTCGTAATAATATGTACTTTGCTTCGAAGTATTTTACTTTGTCACCATACAACGAATAAAAGTTCATCAATCCAGAGGCAAATTGACCATTATTTGTAGCGTCGTTTTTCTTTTAAGAGCTGCAAAACTTCTAAAAGCATAGCACGACCCGAATTTATAGCACAAACCAAAGTTCTAAGCCACTTGCAGAATGCAAAACAGCTAGCGACAAAATCGTGGTTTTTATGGATCAGTATCATACCAAGACGCCATGCCTGATTCGTTATGGTAATTGCGCTTAATAAGCGTATAACAGAAGGGGTCTCTATTTTTTTCATGTTCTGACGGATCAGAAGTTAGATTTGCCTCGGATCAGTATTAACAGTCATACATATGCATATGGGGGTCTATATGCTATGCAAAACATAGCATGATCGCCACCCTGACGCTTCCCTTTTATCATTTCCGTTGGGGTTGTCATGGTATTAACAGTTTGTATGCTCCCGCTCATTGGGGTGAGGGTATCGTTACTTGGGCGGCTTGGGTCACTGTTTTATTTTGTAGTAGCAGAGTATTCCAGTCTGGTCTGAGATGAAATATGTGGACCGATCCCTGAGTGGCTATTAGGTGGTCCATATATTGAGTAAATTTTATTAACCCTGCGATGTAGATTTTCCATGTTACAAGTTGTTCCCTATCTATTTTGCCTTTCAAATTCAATATTTAGATTGATGACTTCAGATTTTAGTACAAAGAAAATTTTGAGTACAGCAAGTTGGTATTTCTCTTCTTAGATATTGTCGAATATTTGTTGCCGGCATAATGTAAATTTGTGGCCTCGTATCATTTCTATTGTTTGAGTAACTGAAACATGAAGTGTAAGATACTGGGGGCACCTCAAAAATATATGATGGGTTGTATCCGGGTTTTCCCAACAAAGTCTGCATTGTAGATTTTCCTTTTTTTTTTAATAATTTACGGATCAGAGTATGGTCTGCCTCGGATCAGTATTACATTAACACGTCATATCCGAGTCATATCGGTATTATGCCTGGTAAGCTGTTGCCGCATATACAGCAGTCAGATGATATCCATTCATCAATTCCGTAGGGTCGTTTGATGATATTCTCGGGAGTATGCTACCATTGTGGGTAGCATAGATTAAAGGCTCATTACATTTAATGATGTTAGAGTCTGGTTTCTTCGTTATTTTATTGTTTGTATCCCGCAAGTATTTCTTTCCAATTAGGTTTCAAATTGGCTGTGTATGCATTGGAAATTTGATAAAATCGGACCATTTGCGAGTTGTTTTCGGGATAATTTTGTCCTCGCCCGGGTCGACTGATCTATTTTCTTTATCTAACTTGGTTTTGTAGTTGACGGCTGCTAATTTGAATATTAAATATAATTTTATGGTTATGGTCTGAACTGTCTGGTTGGGCATGGTGTGAGAGTTGTAGAAGATATTTTCTTCAGATATTTGGGCTGATATTTTAAGAGGCCTATTTAGTATGTCCGTGGTTTTGGCAAGGTGTCGGGAAATGTATGGGCAGTGTAAGAATATGTGAGTATTGTCTTCCCAGCCTCCACAGAATTTGCATTATGACAGTTTTCTTTGGCCGTGCGTGTCACTAAACATAAATCTTTTGCGCACTTTATTCCCAAAGATGTACCCATCAGCCACTATTCTGTATGGACATATCTTCTCTTTGTTTGTTGCTTTATGTTTCAGAGTTCTTTGCTTTACGTGGGCGCAGGTTCAATCTATTCCCGTGGGGTAGGGGGACTCAGTTTTCAGGTTGTACAGGAGTTTTCTATAGATGTGTTTGTGCTTCATGCCTGCCCACTGTTGTTTGGTAAGATGTATTTCCTTTGTTGTATCGGAATATTTTGCCAGATTTTGGGGACGAAGGGGAGATTTGTCAGTTTTTCTTTTATCGTGTGCCAAAATGTTGTATAAAATTCTTTGCTTAGCCCGTCAGGGCCGGGGGAATTTATTATTTTTCATATCTTTCATAATAGAGAATATCTCGTCCTCATTAGTAGGTTTTTCTAACTCCTCGTTTCGATCGAGGCCGATTAGGCATATTTTATAGTAACAAAAGAAAGTTTCGCCACTGCCGCTGTTGAGAAATGAACTTACCGATCGTGTGCCTTGACGGACGTACGATCGTACGATAACTTTTGCACTGTGCGAAAAAATTGTCTCACTCCAATAGTAGTGGCATCAGAATGCCAATTTTTTTTAATTCCAAGCGAGCGAAGAATCGGACTCGGAGGAAATTGTAAATTGGGAAGTTTGAGCAGTCATGTAACATTTATGGTTTGGGAATATTTATTTTTTGCTGTTTAGATATTACATGGATACTTATATATCAAAGTTTTTCGAGGAATTTTCAACACTTATATACTACTAAAAATTAGGCAGGTCTTGAATTAGAATTGTGTGACTTGAATAAATCCTAAATAAATGACAGAATGATGAAGCATTTACTGCGGGTACAATTACATAATCAAATTAACAAATGAAATGGAACATAAAAAATAGAAAAAATTATGGAGATTTTATTAAGAATGCGCCAAAAGAAGCGACCTAATTGGCTGCGGCGGAAATTTTTGTATACGCGTGTGCAGTTATCTGCATTTTTGCATCTGATCTTATTACCGATCAGTCGATCGCGAGCTATTTTGGTCGATTGCGGTCGCAAGGATTGGCCACCCCTGGACTATATACCGACGTGCAATCCCACACTATAATTCTTTAAAGTCTCTGTAGCTCTTTGCACTTTAGTGGTAGCTCGTAATTTTGCTCAGCTATCAGTTTTTCTTTGTTTCTGAGTGAGTGTGCGTGACCTTAAAAAAGTTTTGGCATACGACTTTATTTTAATATTTTAAACAAATATTAAATTTGAATTCGCATATACGAAATACCCTATTGTTCCCCTTTAAACATTTGTAATCGATCACAAAAATATTTGGCGCCACCCCCAAATACCAGGCTCATTTGCGATGAAGTGTTATCTGCGATAATACCTGAACTACAATTGGGTGCTTATTATTTTCTGGTGATTTTTTTATAAGTTCAAATTAACAAATGAAATGGAACATAAAAAATAGAAAAAATTATGGAGATTTTATTAAGAATGCGCCAAAAGAACCGACCTAATTGGCTGCGGCGGAAATTTTTGTATACGCGTGTGCAGTTATCTGCATTTTTGCATCTGATCTTATTACCGATCAGTCGATCGCGAGCTATTTTGGTCGATTGCGGTCGCAAGGATTGGCCACCCCTGGACTATATACCGACGTGCAATCCCACACTATAATTCTTTAAAGTCTCTGTAGCTCTTTGCACTTTAGTGGTAGCTCGTAATTTTGCTCAGCTATCAGTTTTTTTGTTTCTGAGTGAGTGTGATTAAAAAAGTTTTGGCATACGACTTTATTTTAATATTTTAAACAAATATTAAATTTGAATTCGCCTATACGAAATACCCTATTGTTCCCCTTTAAACATTTGTAATCGATCACAAAAATATTTGGCGCCACCCCCAAATACCAGGCTCATTTGCGATGAAGTGTTATCTGCGATAATACCTGAACTACAATTGGGTGCTTATTATTTTCTGGTGATTTTTTTATAAGTTGAAAGTCCCCTTGAAATGCTGTTGAAAAGTTGCGCTGTGGTATAACTGTTTTTTTTTAATGCCGACAACAGCGAAAGATTAATGTGTTGTCACTTTCGTTGCTGGTTCAACTGGTCAATGTTGGTTGCATCTTCAAACACTTCACATATTACAACCAAAATCCCCATCATTTTGAATAACAGACGAATTTTTCCATATTCAAATTACATGATAAACAGCATTATTTGAAACCGATGTATTGGTATGTCTGGCTGTATTCCATTTCTATTTGCCCTTCCAATTGTCCGTTTTTAATCTGGAAGGGCCAGTCACCAGATCGGCGATGCTCGCTAGTTATCATTGGAACGAATGAACAAACAAATTAGTAGACTCAAATTCAGAATTACTAATCCGGGCGTTTCAGCTACCCACAAAAAAGTCATTCACTATGTACAAACATTTACGATCCCAATGATATTGACTTGTCTTCATAAACACATTTTAGCAGAGCATTGCCACAGATCCACTCCACCAGAATACATCCGGAAACAGTGAGACCTAAGATCTTCCCTGTAACGTCCAGATCTATACTCCAACTGCCAAGAAACACTAAATAACGAAAGGAAAGAAACAAGACGTTTTCTCGCTTCTGATGTTATTTTTATCACCTACTTTAACAATACAACAACAGCGCCCTTACCCAAAACCAAATTTATGACAAAAGCAAACTGAGCAGCAGGTGTGATTTTATTTGTGACAATTACATGCTAGTAAATAATTTGAATCAAAAATTGAAGGTTTGTACAAGATATCTACAACAATATAATCAATCGCCAGTGATGAAGTGTCAAAAGCAGTTTAGCACAGTCAAATATATGTGAGTTAGTAAATGTTAGCACGCACCATGTTAAATGTATCATTCATTGAAGAATATAATAACATATTTACTATAAAATAACCACGAAATGCCGGATGTACAAGGATATGCAAGTGAAGCTTTCAAGTTTATTATTCGAATTTAGTCATATATATATATACATATATAGTTAACTTATTTACCTTAAGTAATACACAATTAAGACTGTGCAAAAATATTTACTGTTAAATTAGTATTGTTTATGAGAAAATTAATGGAAACTGCCCTGTGATGAAAAATTTAAAAGGCTTTCAGCGATCTCAAAAACAATTAATTATTCAAATTGAGACTTGCTATGATACATAATAGCAAAAATTTAACTGCAGTGATGTGGTCGCAGAAGCATTAAAATGACTGTAAATGTGGAATAAGACTAAATAAAAGTATTAAAACAAGCATCACTGCTTATCTAAAGCATTACATCAATTGCTACAAAATAAAATTATCCTACGGCCTCATTCAAAATTTAAAAAATGACTCATCCAACAAAAACATTATACACACAATGTTTGTTAAGAATGCAACATCAAGACGAAAAATACTCGTTCACTATGACAAATCAAATATGCCTTTATCACCATGTCATATCTTTGCAACAACCATACAATATCCTTACCACAGAACGAGATCACAAGACACAAAATAAAAGTGTAAAATCATATACAACAAGTCATGCCTAATCTGCTACATAGATAACACCTATTTTAGACCGAGGAACACAACACAAAAAATGTTAGGGCAGTGCAAATGGTTTTTAATAACAATCGAAGAGGGATTTAGGTTATTTTTTCATCCGCGTTTAACAAAAAAACATTATTACAATGTGTCTTTATTACAATCGCATAACCAGATGTACCCAACTTGACCGAGTGACTGTATCAACACAGGTCACTGTCACATTGCTTGAAGTAATCAATGATACATATGGACAAGGTTAAATGTACATAAACTTTGAAATGTACCTCCATTTGAAAAAATAGCACTTGATGTCGCCATGCAATATCATATCAAAACAAACAACATTTCATTATGTTCATGTTCAACAAGCATGAGCGACAAATAGTTGTGGACAAAAATGGAGTATGGGTATTGTACTATTATGTTATAATGGGACAAAACAAATTTAGTGACCCGTCCCTCCATGAATCTATGTTAGTTGGAGAATGAAGATTTGCAAAAAACTCCATCTGAAATCAAGTCCAGTTCAGAATGAATATCAGATTCTATGAATTCTGATGCATATCCTATGCTTTTTCTTTCTTCTCCTTCTTTTTTAGAAAGCTGAGTGAACGGCGCTTCTGCTTCTTCTCTTTATTCTTGTGTTTTCCTTTGTCATCATGTTTTCCTTCATCTACATGAGCAGAATCACCATCTTCTTTTTCTACGACCTTTGATGGTGACATGGTTGCCCCTTCTTTGCCATTTGTCTTCTTCTTGTCGCCAAGCTGCATATTAGAAAAAGATACCAGTGTTATTCCTCTTAAAAAATTGAATGAAGGGTTCAACACTACAATTCACATACTACTGCAAACACCAACAAAATATTTTTCATAACTTGATATGAAATAGAACAGTATCAAACTTACTTTTGGTTCTTCTTTCACAGACAAATCTTTAGCATGTGGCATATCCACTACTTCTGGCTCTTGCTTATCTTCAATTTTAGATTTATTGTTATTGTTAATTGAAACACTTTCAGGAGTTGCAGCAGTCAGAACTTCAACTGGCAAGACGGTTTTTTTTCACTTTTGGTTGCTCAGGTGCGGTGACAACTGTTGCATTTTGCACATCTTCATTATATTGATCCTGTACAACAGATTCCGCAGCTCCTAGCAAATAAATATCATAACTTTAAAACTGCCAACTATAAAAAATTATGAAAATCCATCTTTGATGATGTCAAAAATATGAATATACAAAATTAAAACTTACATTACAAAGGTAATTCAATACAGATATTCCTATAATATTAATACCCCAAATTTACAGACTTATGCATGAGGCTTTCACATAAAAATACATAACATTAAAATTAAACTATAAATTGAACTCTTTAATGCCATGCCAAAATTCCTTACAGTTCAAATAAACAGGATACAACATGGAATCTACTGAACCTTACCTTTATTTCCATCAGTTTCATCAGATAAAGAAACTTTTGTTGTAACAACTTCAATTGTGTGTTCAGTTTCTTCTTGATATACATGAAATGTTGTTGCTAAAAAGGCAAAAATGTTTTTCATAAAATTTACAAAAATGAAACCAAACTACCATAATATGTTAAATCTGAGTGGTCCAAACCCAGGCCCACAGGCCAGCTGCATCATTGTCTGTTCCTGCGTCACATTTGCTGGTATATGTAACAATTGGCACTTTGGTATTGTTTCGTCAAAAAAATAATCTGAAAAATCTTCTGACACATTGTCACACCACTACTTCATTGAATTGACTACGGATATGGCTAGCTGAGACAGTCAGTAGATAATCAGGGTAACCAAGTACTGGACTATTTTGAATACATTCTAAAATCCCTCACATAAATTTATTCACTTTTCTAAAATGCAAGGACATAGGTAATGGGCTTAATAATATTATCATTGTAAAGCAGCTATAAATACAAATGACATGTGTGATGAGATAGTAATTAGTTGTTTTATTGCTTCTAGAAAAGAGGATATAAGAAACTTACAGTATTCACACCTATGAATGGTGGTGTCTTGGCAAGCACAGAAAAAGTGTAACTATGTGTGTTTTAAATGTTTCAGATTCTACAGAAAAGTCAAAGTCCTTAATTAATAACAGCACACACTTTTTTTGATAGGGCTAATTTTTGTTATAAATTTTGACTGTTTATCACACAAGAAATACGGTAATAGTTGTGCTGCCACAGGCTTTTTTTATATATCTGCTCACAAAACCATTCGCTGATTCAGCAAACGCAAATGTTATTAGGGGATCGTCGTCATAATCAAATAAGCTATTAACTAATATAGAACAGCTATTTTATAAGCTGTAAATTGCAAAAAAATTCCGGTATGTTGGGTCACTATCGAAACGAGGATGAAAACAATTCATTGCAACACAATTTGTTTTTAGATTTAGCCGCACAAACTATTTCGACTAATTTGGAATATACTATAATATACGTAGAATAGAATATACGGGTTATAAGCACTTTATGTCCGCGCTAATTGGAATCCTTTCATGTTGTCTATAACTTACCCTGAGATAGGTTTCTACATAGTCTCCAGTCAACAAATTTATCTTAATCTAATTTCTTTTTAATTCACAACGATCTTGGCTCACTGCAAGAGAGAAGGTATACAAACTTTGCAGTTTCAAGGAAATGTCATTGGGAACCATATTTCCAATAGTCTCAAATTTTTGCCACCTCTCTGTGGTACCTCAAGTTGTGGGCATCGTAGTATGTGAGGTTGTGATCATAAACACTCTAAATATTTGCTTTAATATTTGAGATAACGTACATCATTGTGTAACTGAAAATGACTTGTCATCATGAAAACTTACGTTCATCGCCCTCAGAATCCTTCTTTGATTTTTGAGCAACCTCTTGCTTGTATTTCTCTAATTCTTCTTCACTCATACTTGCAAATGGATTTGGAGGGCCAGTCACAATCGTTGTAGAATGATAATCACGTTGGATTATCCCTTTACTGCCTGTGAACACGCCGTCCTTGAGAAGAATTTGTTTTTTAATTGAAATATATACTACTATTACTATAAAAAGGATCCAAAAAGTGAGGGTTAATAGGAATTCCATTTACAATTCATTACTATTGTGGCACATATTACATAGTTTATTAACAGTCGGTCCATTCCAACTAACTTTTAATCGTGACAAAAATGTTTATTACTGCAGATACGTGTTGGAATACGACACATGAATTGATAGACTGTGTTACATCCATGGTTTACATCTTATTTAGCCTAGAAACTAAAATGAGAATGTTTGCCACATATTTTAGAGGTTTCTCTTTTCCTGAAATAAATGCATCCTCTTCACCATACCATGCTTATGATGGAAAATTTACAAATCATATCATCCTGCATATTAAATTGAAAACAGTCTAAAATAACTATTCCCAAATTCAACCATGCCCATGCAGTTTTATTGCAGGCTGAGACTGATTGGCAAAATCAACTTGATCTCCAAATATCTGTTACCGCAATGAACTCTAATTAACATGGGTAGAAAACAACCACATAATAATATAAATCAATTTAAAATGCAATCTTTTTTAAACCAACTCGATTTGATTTGAAGTATAAAATACATCATGTATGGAAATTCACACAAATTCTTATAATCCAGCACTTTTTGACTTACACGTTACACCCTCATAATATTAATTTCAACATTTCAGGATGAATCCTGTTTTAACTAAATTTATACATTTCCCTCAGATAAAGAAATTAATGGAGAATCAAAATATACTAATAAGGATGGTGCTTTAATCACATTTGAACTTTGTTATGCTTTGATGTTGAGAATGATATGACCATGAAGAATGGCAGCACACAATATACCAGTTTATCTTGGTCGTTGATTTTCCCAAGTTCTAAGCTATCAAAAGCAGTCGATCGAGGAGAATCAGTAAAACACTAAAAGATGGATATAATATATTTGGGGAAAATATTTACTTCTTCAAATTGCCCACAAGCAAGCATAAACCCTTTTACTCATAGACATTAGGAATATGTTATATGTGATTTATTTTATGATGACATAAAACCTCGAATGAGATTCTGAATTTTAGCGTTACACTGTTGATTTTTATAATCAGGCAACACATTTGTCTCAACATCATAAACCTACTCTAATTTTTGATTTATAATTTAGTATCATGAAATTGCAGAACAACAATAAAAATCTTTTACAGAACTCTGGTGATGTGCCGAACACATGATTGAAAATCACTGATCTGAAGTAAACAAACCTTAACCAAGCATAACCCATTTAAGGCCCAAAGCAAGGACCTACAAAAATTGTAAATTTGGTGAAGATCCAAAAACTGTTTTTACCTGCAATGGCATACTACTGTCAGGTGGATGAACACCTTCAAGTTTTTGTGATTGTGGTCCTGGACCTCTTTCATCCCATCTTCCCTGAGCTCGAATCTTAATGAATGTACGTAGCAATGTAACGAATCGTAAAAATTACAATAATATTACTTGGCACAACACACAGTAATAAACAAAAAGAATAGAAGAAAGGCAGTAATTAAACTTGAAATGCAGAAGCAAATAAAAAAGCAAAATATGAGATAGCACCAATTTATTGCATGCAACAAAAAGTAATATAGCAATCAATGAATTTCACTATGAAATTGGAAAGACAGACTATTACTACAATGGTTTACCACAACATTTTATGATTTGCCAAATTAGTTTGAATAACAAACTACTTTGTTAGGAAAGTGTTTTATATTCATTACTGGTAATTGATAACTAAAATGATTATAGTAAACACATATTGCAGCACTGAACATATTATGTGCAGTATAAAGATCAGTTTTATCATAGGTAAGAGGAAGAAAGGACAAATCTCGTTTAAATGTCAGTATTCAACTGGTCATTTTGTAAAAAAATTTGAACTTTATACGAGGCCCTGTCCCTCGCCTAAAACCCAAAACACCTATATCAATAGACTCAGTATTGACGAATACAAGTCTTGAACAGTTCTGCCAATCATACCTGTTTCCTTTTTTCAGCAACTTCTCTCGGATCTGTATTTTTAGGAACAAATTGGTTTGGATCTGATATACGTATCGGAGTACTATGGCTCGAACCTTCATCATTCCTCCACTTTAATTTCAGAAAAAATGAACAAAAACAAAAATCATGCAAAACAAACCAAAGTAAACCTTCAAAGAAATATACAAGAAAAAAACAAAATGGAAAAAAGCAGAAATCAAAAATTCAGTCTACCCATCAGCAAAGAGGAAAAGTTTTTCATTTGACAATTGAAAAAGCAGGCGATAAAATGAGATTGAAAAACCAGCACAAACAGTTCTATCGAAAATCCATACATACGTTACACAATATCCGAAAAACTAAATATTTAGAAAGAACTTATTTGATTACCACAAAGCTATTACAATAGGGCCTATTTCATCAATCCACCAGTGAAGTCAATTTTATTGAGGAATCATTGAACTGAGTAAATGGGAGTTTCCTCTACTCGTATGTCTAATCAATTTGAGGATCAAAAAGAACATTGAATGACCGTCGGTATTAGTAGTTTTACATTTATATTTTTCTCTAAGAGTGTAATATATATTATTGTATTGCATAGATTGAACAAAATTTTTTACAAAAACATTATAAAAACCATTTAAATCCTTGAACATCAGAGTAATGTAATACTGACAAAGTATTTCCAAAATGCTGGGCTTTCAGAGATAAAAAAAAAAGTTTAACCAACCTTAGTTTTATTCTTGGGACTGACATCTCCATTTATTGGAGAAGGGCCGGAACCATTCTGGGAAATTTTTGTGTACTGATTTGGTGAATTTATCCATCTGGAATTTGGTGGATGTGACTGTAACCTGGACCGAGCTTCTGCAAATCATTTGTATTCATGAAAATTATGTCAAAGTCAAAAGTTCAAAGAGGCCATGGTGAGAGACTATAGTAGACAAAAATATCATGAAGTTTCATCCATTATAATAAATGCTGATATTATCAATAGCATTACGACTGCTTGTAGATAATCATTTCTTGGATTGTTTATGCACTTATTTAACATTAACAAAATATTGGAAATACTGAATTTTTTCTGACACCGTCAACCCCTTTTAGTCTTCTAAAGTTACAATGTTATAACAGAAATTAGAAATTATCGAAGACAAAATGAAAATTTCAACCTTGTATATCATCTACTTGTACATTTCCTTGAACAGTTGCGGAAATTTCAACATCACCTTTCAATCTGGATCTTTTAAGTGATGGCATTAGGTTTTTGTATGTATATCCCGACCTATAGCCCTGCATAACATAAAATAAGGTATTGTTAATACTAATGCTAGAATACTATTAATTTAGACATAAACAGTTTCCAATCCGGAAATAAGATAAGTTTCCTGTTTAATTCAAACAGGACTGATAAAATTTGTCTGGGTTTATTGTGTTATGAAAAATAGCCAATAAATAGCCCATACTGATATAAGCATTAAATTATATTGAAAATGTCTCAACATTAAAGCAATACGTCTTTACATGTGGCATAAAATTTAAAAACATCAACGATATCAATTGTCAATGCCAGTAATCCTCGATGATATATTTGTCATGTTTAGAGCAAAATTCTATTTCATGTATATAAATTGACTTCTTCTATATTTCACACATCAACTATAGTTCAACATTATATAGCACAATAACCATGCAAATGAAAAAGCAGACAGAAACAATGAAATTTATGGCAGACATAATAATGACACTTGAAAAAGTCATAGGGATTCAATATAGTTCTGGAATAGCACAAGCTGATGCTAATCAAACAATGATGTAATGCCTATTGCCTATGTACTCGTCTGCTCTCAAGTCACAGTCTAGCAAGCACAAACAATGATAAACCAAGCACTTTAGAACAGATCTTACAATGATTTGTGTACGACCAAATTTAGGTAACAGTAAAAATATATCATGAAATTAGCAAAGAAAAGCAGTTCTCTCTATTTTCGATGAGACAATTATTAACTATTTTTAAGTCTATGCCGCCAAAAATATCTAACCTGGGAAAGATTGGATGATTGGCAAACAATGATATTGAGCTTACGAAAAAGGTGATCAATTTAACCCCAAGGAACAGATGATAACTCGTGACAGGAAAATATATATAAACAATGAAAAATTTCATCAGAGTGTTACTTTCATGTCAGGTATGCTCACGGCATCTTCACAATTTTCATATTCACATTCAGATCAATCATGGTTTGTTCTGTTTACAGATGCGTTTAAAACAGATCAATAAACATATGCAAGAATTAACTGTCATCATAGACAAGACAAACTATTAGTACCGTAATACTAATCATGAGATATTCTTCAAATGGTGCCATGCAGGCATTTTGAAATGATACAATAGTACAGAAAAAACTTTGATATGAAAACACATTGATCTTATGTCAATGAGAGAACATTTGCATCTAAGTTCAACGAATACTCTGCGAAAATTATAATCGATTTACTATTTTGATCAAATCATGCTTATATATTACATCACTTTTCCAGCGTAGCTATATTGGTCAGGGACCATTAAGCATGACAATACAAAACAAAATTACTTTCACTGCATCATCAATCTCAATAAACAGACTGTTTGAAGGAAATCGAATTTCATTTTATAGTTTTTAGACAAATCTATATTATCTTAATTTGATAATACCTAGAAATCTCACAATTGGAATATTAAAAATGTGCATATACTAATCGTTGTATGCTAATAGGCACTCATGATCATCAAAATAAATCTTTTACTCATGCAAACCACAAGCAGTCTACATGAGCAGTTATGATGAGAAAGATTAAGTGAGGAAGCCTCATATTTGGTATGCAGTGGTAGCAACGTGAAATGTAAATGGTTAAAATGGTAGTGAATAAACCAAACCTTGTAGTTCTAGAACTTAAAAGCTTTTGGGCAGAAAATTTCTTACCATGTTATCTAACATCCTCATATGAGCTTCAAATTCCATTTCACCAACTTCCCACTTGATATCACTACTTGTGTCTCCACCATTCATCTGGTCTTTCCCATATTTCACAGAATCAAAAACTTGCGACCTGATTGCTTTGTCTATTAAAGTAACTTTATCCAATTTCACGCATGAAAGAAGTTTGACCTACAAAACAGTTGAACATAAATTTAACGAAGACACTGCCAGAACATATAAAAAGAAATTATAACGAATGAGTAAACAAATCAAAATATATAAAAATTTATATACATGTTTTGTATCAATAACACATTAACTTTCATTTGGCTGACCACGTCTGACAATATAGTCGCAGTAATTTACACGATCCCAGATGGCAGTTGCAGCTATTATTACTCTTATCCCATCAGTTTAAAACTATGTAAATTAACCAATCTACTGGTCTTTATTCTATTCATATAAGGAAAAACTGCAGATCTCTAAACTTCTGTAAATGTCTCCAATAAAATCTGACATTTTTGACTGAAAATGGGAGAAAAATTAATACAATCCTGATGCTATTGTAAAATAATTGAGTATATGAAATTGAATGAATATCAGACTATTTTGATATTCCTAGCTTATTAAGGCATAATAAGCATTAGAAAATAAATACCTGTATTTCACAAGCATAAACAACGTTGTTCAAAAGATGGAAAGCTTCTTCGATAGTTTCTCCACAAACAAGCAAACCATGATTTCGTAGAAACATGACCTGAGGTAAAAAAGAAAATTATTATTGAATCAGTCTTCTTTGTACACTACTTGCTCAATTCATGTCACCTATATAATCAAATTTTTATATCCTACTTTGCCAACGCTGCACGCTGTAAATGGTCAGACAACCATGAGCGTGGTTGTGTACAGCATTTTATACGATAAACATATGTTTTCCTGCTGACTTGAAAAATCCAGATAAAATTAATCCATTATTATTCAGATATTTGTGAAATTTGATTTAACTTTTTCTTCTGATAGAAGTTTTTGAGATTTATTCAAATTAGTACATTCGGGAAAAGTGCACAGAAAAGTATATCAGGTATAGTCATCTATTTCAAACTATTCTACCTCGTAATGGAAATTCAAACAACTCGTATCCTAGGATATGTTGTCTGATCCATGGCCATACATAACAGAAATTAGAAGTTTGCGACAGAGGTTAAAAGATTTTAAAATCAAATGATTAGCTTACCACAAACCAAGCACACAGGCCACCAGGGAATAAACGTGTGCGTGTGTCGGAATTTAGAAAACCAAAACAGGGTTAGCGTAAATACTATTTTAAATTACCAAGGGACTTGTACAGGAATGTCACAAAGCTAGCAACTCTGGGAATGTATTATAACTTTATCTCAACTGCAGATGAACTTGTATTACACAATACAAATACAGTCATTCAAATAATTTTGCTTCGAACTCAATGCAACCAAGTTAGGAAGCATATAGTTTGCTAGGACTTCCTGTAGTAATTGAATGGAAGAAGTCATCTGCTTAAATAACTGTTGGAAATGGGGACAAATCATAAAAACAGATCTGAGAGATGTGGAACTATAGGTTGAAATTTGGGAATCCAGAAAACTCATCTAAAACAAGCATATTTTAGCCACACAGCATACATTGGTTTGGTGCACAAGAACCGTATACTATGTACCCTGTACTGTGTTCATATCTCAGAAGAGCAGCTACAAAGTCAGATAAGAATATTCTGTTTAATTGACAAACGCTGCTATTATTAACGTGTAAAGTAGTTTTGAAAATACTGCACATCCTCGCATATAAGCCGACCCCCTAAAATTGGCCCTAAACAATGAATGTATAGAAATAGGCATACAAGCCGATCCTACAAATCGTGCGCCCATATTGTGAGAACTTAGCATGGTTCGAGTGCTTGCTTTATCATACCCAATTGAAGATTCTTTCTACATACCAAAATACTTTCACAAATAGGCCTACTGCAGAAAATATATTGCTCATTTTATATGACAACAGTTCCACAACTATAAAACAATACCACAAAAATAGAAGGTGATCAGTACATATCGAAAAGTTGTTTATAAACAAAACACGCAAAATATTTCAACTAAATCATAATATTATGATAAAGTGAGTAAATATTCAAAACTGGAATCAAATAACTCCTATTAACATATCTATGTTGGAAGCAGCAAACTGTGATATCAATGGAACGCGAACCAATTGAGTCAGACAAAATTATGTTAGGGGTTGGGTTATAATTATTAATCGAGAAAACTATATTGAGTACTGTCATGTTTAACAAAAATGGGTAAAATTGTCTGAAATAAAAAAACTGTACAATTTATTCAACTGCTGGCTTTACAAGCAGTATCCAAGTCTCACTCAGATCCTGAATCAATGAATTCATATTTAAATACTGAGACACTAGAACTAAAAAAAACCTAATATAGCTGATAAGTTCAAAAGTGATCTTCATTGAAAAATGTCAAATTTTAGACTGGAAAAACTTCAACACTGTTAATAAGACAAATAAATCACCTTGTTATTTGGTCCCATATGTTTGATGAGCATTTTCCTTTCTTTCAGATCAACTGCTAATCCCATAAAGTTATGATAAGATACATCTCCAATGATCAGAGCTTCTTGTGAAACGGGAAGTAATCCACATTCCATTATAGATACCTAACATAATTATTCAAGATGTTTGTCAAAACTTGCTTTGCTAGATTAATAGTATATTTATTATCTATTTAATATTCTGGAATAATTTTAACAGTTCAATAAATTTGTGGTATATTCCTTGGACAATAAAATTTATAGTACCAGCCCAATTCTGCGTGATTTTATCAACTTGCTTTTCTCTATGCCTTTTATTCATATATCAAATGATGTTTAGTTGCGTTATTTAGTAGATAAAACACAGTCTAATAAATACAGCAGAAACTAATGGACTGTAATAATTTCATAACTTCTCAAATTGCATCAAAACAACAAAAATCCTAATAACAATATATAATTTTTGCAGCTGTATTATGGTACTATTAATAACATTTTTATTATTTTTCTTAATTTGAAACTATTAATAACAACAAAAAATGAAAGACCGCACTTACTGCAACACAATCTGGTATATGGGCGTGTATTACACAATTTAAGTCTGGTCTTCCTGAATGGATTGCTGAATGTATGATAAAACCTGCTCGATTCAATATAAATGTTGTTGTACCTTGGTCAATAACATCCCCTTGCATGTTGATCTAAAAATCAGATCATAATTTTTGAGTGAAATAGTCAAATAAAAAGTCCTGAAAGGTCCTTTGTTGACAAAGTTGTTATGTGCGAATGACAAGGCAAAGGAGGTCATGAGAGTGAGCTATATAAACCTATTCCTTTCCAAATTTAAATCTTTACATCTTAAGAAATGCAAAAGATTGGGACGCTAAGAATAATATGTAAAAATTCTATTTATCACGCTGCTAAAACTATCACCTAAGTAATTTACAAATAAAAGAACTTTATATTGAAGTTGTCATTCAACAGGCCATGTTTTCAATTATTAAGAGCTACTGTACTTTCTGTGAAATTATATAATTCAGTGAATAGACAAAAAAAATGATTTTGTGCCACGGTCCATGGATTTTATTATTGAGAGGGATTAGTTCTAACTGATATATTTCAAACCACTTGTTTGAGCTGTGCAGTGGTGCGTGTATGTATAGCACAATGAAATCCGAATTGACACTGCAAATTGCGCCAACAACCTCCCAGTGTTCCCTTTCAAAAACTAAAAACCCATATATCAGAAATGAAGACCCTAATCTTACAATTTATACAAAACATTGAACAAATAAATTGTTAATCGTTGTAATACCAGGATGGATATCAATATTCAAAGATAAAACATTGCGTAATCTTAATTTTAATAATTTCATTTAGAAACACTGGGTACTTGAACTGAAATAAACAAAGTATAGATAAAAGCAGGGTGTGGGACCAGAGTGTTTGACTGGGTAGGTACTTAAAAGAAGACGGAATACAGTTTACAATAGCAGACTTATACTATAAATGAATGGAGTGTACGTCCACACCCAATGAACAAGTTAAACAGGTATAAGGGAGTTTAAACACAAGAATGATTTCATTATTTTCTGTCATGACAAAAATTAAGGTATCAGTATATAACACACAATCAAACCACACAGATCTAGATGATAATAATAGATATCAAACAAGTTCTTTTGCTGATGGTTACCTTACATATTTATCATCTGGAAGAGTCAGATAATAAATATCACTAATGCAAGCATGGTTCATTGATAAATAAAATTTTAAGCTAAATCATCCAAATCCATGTTCGAATACTATGTATTTAATACTGGAGTTTGCTCCACTGTGGTGCGGGGCATTTTATCATGATGATTAAATGATATTGAAAAACACAAATTCCAGAAAAAAATACTAATATCATAAATTACATCATGCCAATATCATAAAAACTCCCAAGTATTAATAAGTATTCTGCAACATTACCTTCATCAACTTTGATGCGGATACTTCATGATATAGTAAACCAAATGGGTTGATAAGAAAATGCTCCTGTTCTTTGTCGACTTTATACTGTAACGTATGAAACATATTTGAAAATTTGAAATAATAAAGAAATGGTGAGCAGTTTTGTTAGAACTTTCCACAATTCGGTTGATTGTCAATTTAGTAACATAAGTACAAGGCACAAAACAATTGGGGTTTTTCTTTCATTTTATTGCAATAATATATTATTATATTTTTTGGATCGGTGAACTGCATTTTGCCTCCAAATTCAAAAATTGCCAAACATGAAACTCTATTGCAAAAAAAGAAGAAAATTCATATTGACCGTTATGACCAGTTACTTTAAGGATTGATTTCGTGAAGCAAGTTCGTTGTAACACCATTAAAATGAGTATAGCCTATGCTTTGACAAAAATAAAAATTCAAAGTGTTGCCAATGTTTCAGTCCTGCCCTCGATAAATTATTCATCCAGTTTTAGAATCATGCCTCGCAGTGCTATATAATAGACATGAAAATGAACTGTGAATTTTGGGATAGCCAAGTCGAGTGGATTAAGTTGAATGGAAATAAATAGAACTATCATAATCAGAAGATAGAACAACTCATCCCAGTATTAAAAGTTATGCTCACTGAAGTTGAAAAATAATCTAACATACACTAATATGATTATAGATTCCTTCAGACCACCCATTCAAGTCAACTAGTCTGTATAATGCAGCAAGTTTGCAGCGTATCTGCTTCTCCGTTTTTGAGTATCGTGTTGCCTCTGATCCTGTGATGTCATAAATTGGTGTAACACATCCAACACCTGCAAGACATGAAAAAGAAATGATAAATGAAACTGCGAAATGACAAACGTACCTCATGAAAAAAACACAATTTTAAACTCATCAACAGAATGCTATCAGTCTGTAAATAATCTTACATTAAAACAACTTAAATATCTTTTAGCGGAGAATCTGATTTTCCTATAAACATAGTAGTGAGACCAATTAAAAAATATTGCAATATTTGTTTGGTAGCATAAAGCAGCTCTCAATAATATAAATAAAACTGCATTCAAAATTGTGAATGTTTACTAATATCACAATGTACAACATTGATTGCTAGCACCATGACATAAATGTTAGTTGGAACAAATCGGTAACACAGAGTATGGTAAGAAATACAAAATTTCAGTATGTAAACTTTGTCATACGTTATATACTACTATATACTCAGAGATGTTTCATTCTTTATTGATATTATTAAGAACAGGGTTGTCCAAAGCGAATCAAATATTCGAATATCAATGTACTTGAATACTTTCCGGCTAATTTTCTAATAATAGTCATTTTTTGTCATCAGCAAGGTGCTTTGTTTTCAAGGAAAAGCTTCAAACAATTTTCTGCGATTTGTCACATATTGTAATGGCAATGAAATAGAATCGGCACTTAAGATTGTTATGCTCTGTGCGCGAATGCGCCGCCTATTGTTGCAGCACCTTTGTTTATTGAGTTTATGAGTACTGCCGCCATTCCCTTCTAATTTACACATTCGTTTCCATTACGTCGAAAAATTGCAATATAGCGGCAATTGTCACGATACCCAATAAATTGTCGCGAGTCGGAAAAAAACAAGTTGATTTATTAAGAAAAATAATTCATACTTTTTTCTGATTTTAGGCAAATAATTTTGATAATAATATTTAAAAGTATCGACTTTTAACTAGGATGATTTTCTGTTACACAAAATATTCAAATCTGTGACCGATACCAGCATTTAAAATGCAGCATCAATTTAATTCTGTTCAATGTAACTAATGGTTGCATTGAGAATTCTGAAAAAATAAAGGTATTAGCCTATCAATCTAAAATACCATGGCAATCTGTAGACATGAAATGTGTGGTAAACTGCTGGATTAGCATTGATTTTTTATTCTTATTTCAGTACATACGAAAAAATAAAAGTATTGGTACTCGAAATAGTGAAAATGCGATATTTAATATCCCTGGTTGAAGCATATTATTGAAAATGGAGTTTACCGTTAAGTTTATTTATCAGAAAACTTTGACTGTTTGTCCTAGCCATAGTCAGATATTAAAAAAGGTGTGGTCATGCGCTTTGTTAAGAATTATGATACCAAATGAATTGTCACCAGTCAGAAAAAAAAGTTGATTTATTAAGAAATAGATAATTTATACTTTTCCTGTTTTTTGGCAAATGATTTGAATAATGATAGTTATAATATTAATGTTAATTCATGTTCGATGTAACTCATGGTTGCGTCGACTTACAAAAAAAAGCATTAGGCTACTATTCTAAAATACCACAACAATCTGTGGATATAAAATGTTTAGTGAACAAATAATTATTTTTTGATTCGTATTTTCGTATTTACGAAAAAATAAAAGCATTACTATTCTAAAATACCACGGTAACCTGTGGACATGAAATGTGTTGTATACTGTGCGATTATAATTAATTTTTGATTCGTATTTTCATACTCACAAAAAAATAAAGGCATTACTTTACTACTCTAAACTACCACGGCAATCTGCCGACATAAAATTACTGGTAAATAGCTAGTTGTAGATAACAGTTATTCCATTGTTCAATGTATGCAAATTCCTTCTTAAACTAAGAAAAGCTTCTGTTACTTTACTCTGTAGTTTATTTTCAAATATAATGACTATTTTATATTTGAAAATAATATTTTCGAATGTATTTGAAATAGTGAATTATTCGGTATTGGCCATTCCTGATTAGGAAGTGACAGTCAGTAAGTGAATGAACATTGCAATTAAAAAATCAATCATGCATCAGCATCTGCTGCATTCATTTTTCTTGAACTTTAGTGTTCCTATACATTATAATGTTCCCTTTACAATTGTATAACTTTCCAACAACAAATCTCGATCAAATCACTTCGAAAGAATATTAGTTCAATCAATGGAAGTAGTTCAGTAGTATACCAAGCAAAGATAACTACGGTACTCATTATATGACTGTTATTAAATTATATAAATGGAAACTCATTTAGAATGCCACATCAATTTTTATTGTCGTGACAAGTAGCAATTAAGCAATTGAAAAAATTGATTTTGCATGCCATGCTAGATGGCTTTGACATGAATATTTAATTACTATAATAGCTGCATGATAAACTGCATAAATCAATTATATCAAGATGCAAGAGGCCTCAACATAAACCAGGCCATAGTTGTGCCATCTGTGAAATATCCAAAAAACAGGTATATTGTAGTCTACGTACGTAGGATCAGAGAACCAAAGTTTGACATTGCACTGTACCTTGTTGGATTAACAAGAGGATGTGGAACAAGTTACATGAACTATGATGTATTACAAATATTTATTATTTACGCCATTGAAAATTAACAATAGTGTTACTATTATTAATATCTTCTGATTGAATCGAGCATGCAATTGAACATAACTGATCGAACTATTTAATTATGTGAATATATAATATATATACTACAGCCAGTTACTATAGCAATGCTGGAGCAAGCAAAACCCAAAATTGCAATAAATTATGACATGACACAATATCATTGTCACCTGTTTTCATATTGAAAACTCCATCACCTGTACAAGTAATAGAAGAAACAAGTGAAAACTTCGAATAGATTGATTTATACCAACAATTACTAGCAGAACAGCTGAGCAAAGAACATAAACTTTAAATATTGTAAATATGTAATGCATAGCAGCACCGGTTCAAACACTGCGTTTAATCATAAAACATATTAGGAATTGGTTTTACAAAGCAAGTTGAACAAAATTTACTCCAATAAAGAAACTGAATAATAAACTTAGTAGTGATGTAACAACTTGCAAAACATCTAAATTCTAAACTGGCATGGAGGAAAGCCTGCTTATTAGCGCCTGTGCAATACCCAACTGTGTTTTAGAAGGGGAGTTTTTATTGCACGACCATTAAAAATAGTGAGCCGAGACTGAGCGGTACAAAAGATTTTGTAAGACAAATTATGCTTTAAGCAGAATAATATTTTGTAGTTTCAATTTAGGATGTTTTAAAAGTATGCTAAAATAACAATTACAAATAGAAAGCAGTCAGTATTGCTGTTAATATTTGTTAGTCTTTTTCTGGGAAATACTATTGTTAATCAATCTTTCCTTTAATACAGATATCGAAAAATTTCTTGGTTTATATATCAAGGCAGGATTGGATGACATAGCATCAAGAAGCACTAACAGCAATAGCCCTAATGGCTAAAACCATGCATGAACTGATATATAATTAAATAAATTACCCAGACTATATTGAGATCTGCTCATCGGCGACAACATATTTGCAATTTCCTTGGCAATTACGTGACCTCCACCATCACCAGAACGCAATAAGTCAGTCACTACAGTTTCAAGTTCTTCTTTGAACACCTATTGAAGAAAATTATAATACAGTTCAATTATTACGTGAGCTAATATTGACACTCGCTATGAATATTCACTGTTAACATTTACAAAGTCATAATCGTGAGATCATGCGTAAATTAAGCGAAAACCATATATATCTAAAAAACTTAACCCTCAATCTATATTACTTTGATTTCATAGTTGGATCTTGTATAATAATACTCAAAAGAGAAACAAAATGAGAATGGATTGCACATCAAAGACTTGAATGAAAACTCCGATGTTAGCTCTTTAATAAAAAATAAACCCAAACAAACTAAAAAACTTGAATAAAATATAGATTATCACAAGAAACTAAGTTATCTTCACTACAATTTGATACAAAATAAAGGTCACATAGCAACTAAAAATAAGTAAAATTACCGGACTAGTTAATACAGATGAAACTCGTTTCTGCTGTCCTAGCTCATTGACATCTTGATCAATTCCTGTTGGCCTTCTAACAGGATGTATTCCCAGCTCAGCTTCGATATCAACCCTGAATGACTTCCTGGAGACTGAGGATCAAGCATCTTTGAATAGGAATAGAAAACCATTCGTTTATATTTATTCTAGGGGAGACAAAAGCAGTTAAGCTGACTCAATCACATGGCGAACCATGATCCTTCGTCTGGTGGCCATTTTCTTGGATACAGCAGAAATAATTAATTTACTAATTTATTGTTCCAGCTTGGATCGGGAACGAAGCTGGCCATAGAAGCACTACATGCCATTCAATACTATTTGAGAATACCAAGGGTTGTAAGATTTCCTCGAATTTATTTCTTGAAAGGTTCGAAACCACTGTTCTAAATTATCACTGAGTCGAGCATTCACTATATTGAGTAGCCTACACTTCATGTGGGTCATCACTGAGTGTTATATTTTGAATTCTTCACATACACATATAGTTCAGTACTTATCAAAACTTTTATAAATTGAGTAAACAAACATGACAAGTGCCACCCTTTCAAGATTTGTAAATCATGAAAACAAACATACCATACCGTATTTGCTCGTTTTGTAGCCCGGGCTCGTATTTTTTTCAACCAACTCACTAACCGGGCCCTTATCCAAACCGGCCCTTATTCAAGACGGGCGCTCGTTATTTTCGATCGTTACAATAATTAATACATTGTTATTTCCAGTTCCAGTATGATTCAAACGAGAATAATGAAAATTTTGACTTTTTCTACGCACCGCAGGTACAAATCCGCAAAAGAAGAAAAGTCTTGTGACACCCTATCAATATTGAAACGACGCACTTGGGCGTCGCGACGCCCAGTTTGAGAACCATGGTGTTACGTAATCAATGCTATCTGTTATGTACTTGGACGCCTAAGGCGTGAGTGTTATCTACAGGTGCTTAAAATTCAACAGCGTTGTGACAAAAGCGCTTCTTATTTCCTATTGTTCTCTACCACTGAAAAATCAGCTTTTACATCTCTACCACTCATTCTCAGAGTGGGAGTGGTGACTCCTCTGCGGCCCATGGGCCGGGGCCACGGCCCATCGAATTGGGCCTCGGCCCATCAGGCTATGGGCCGCGGCCCATCAAGTTGTGTACAGAAACTATTCACTTGGCTAACACAGACAGTCCCCGAACTCATAATAGAACTTTAATGTAAAAAATCTGAATTTTTTTTGTCCTAACCCTAACCTGGTACACATACTACAGGAGTATATTTTTTTGGTTCGAATATTGACAAATTTGGTAAAAATTGAAAATTTTGTTAAGATAATTGAATTTTTTCTGATGGGGCCGCGGCCCATCAAGCTATGGGCCACGGCCCATGTGGCCCAATTAGATGGGCCGTGGCCCCGGCCCGTAGAGGAGTCACCACTCCTGTAGCATTCTCATTCTCTACCACTGAAAAATCAGCTTTTACATTCAAGCACCGGCCCTTATTTATTTTTATGTTCTGTTCACATGGGCGGCTTTTCAAACGGGCCCTAAAAAAACGAGCATATACGGTACTCTGCCACTGAAATATATTAAATTATGGGGTCTAGTGTAGTTTAGTATCACAAGTACTTCTATTGATTTTGTTTACAACTGACAACCCCCCAAAGGCCATTCATTAACAATTCATATTATTACTGTATTAAGAGAAAAGCACTCATGCCTCACTAAAACAAATTTCAAGCTTTTTTTGATCCACTACTCAGATACCATATTTTAACTATAGGTCAGACCAAAGAAAAATACAATAAATACCTCTCTATGAGATTGCTTGGTTCTTGTAGGACTTTTCATCGCCATTTAATTGATATTTCGAACTGATAATTTTCAGATAACTGGACACATTAAATTTCAAAATGAGTACATTAAATACTACTTGCCACGCATCGTGCACTACAAAAAACTGTTTAAAAAGTTAGCAAGCGAAAATGAATGGGTGCAATAAAACATTGCATTATATCAATTAGAGAAAGAGTCTGAATAACCCAACAAAAGTCACACTACATTGCACATTTGATTTGGATGAAACTTATTACATATTACTGTATTGATAAGATGTGCCATCCTCATGCGAGCCACGAAATTGTCTATGTTTCTGGTTATATTTTATTTGAATACATACAGTTCATTTCATTCTTTTCATAATACAGTAATATGATCACATTTAATGACTATTAAGCAGATGGATTTCAAATCAAATTGTTTACTATAGAAAGAAACCAAATGTTCACTTACCAATTTTATCAATTAGAAATTTATCATTCTCAGCATGAATTAATATCGTATCTGTCTACGATTCTTTTTTATGTACCGTATTCAAGGATGTATACGTCATAAAAAATTTAGATTATTTCCCATAGTACAATAGGGCACAGTTTTCCGATTCCAAGATGTCCCAACATTCTGACATTTGGTTCAATGAAACAAACACTCTATTTGTGTCTGAAACGAGGACGCTTGGCACAACATGAGATTGTGCCACGCTGTCTCGAAAATAAATTAAATCTTTTGTGATCTGCGTCGCAGGCACATGACCAAAATTGTGTTTTTGTTTTGTTGTGCAATGCCTGTTTGTATCTCGTGAAGGAAGAGTTTGCACTCACTATTATAATTAATGTATTTTAATGTTGGGGCCATTCTTGGAATCGGAGAACAGTGCCATATTGTAGTATTGTTGCAGTGAATAGTTTCCATACACATTCAGACATTCCGTACCGTAAACAGGTTATCAATGATAGGATAGGTCTTACATATTTATCCCGGGGGGGGGGGAGAGAGGAAAGCCAATAAGATGGCTTAATAACCCACGCAGATCAATTAGAGGTGTGGTGGCGAGCGTATTCCTAACGCTTAGCCCGTTGAGCCACACTGCCGCGCCAAATGATCTTCCCATTCTATCTGTCTATTGTCAGATTGTACCATAATCAGATACCGTAGTACCGTGAGCTTATTGCTTGGCCTATAGCCAAACTTTCTCACAATTTATTCTCATAGTGCTTTCTACATCTGTATCAGACATAACATGAGAAATTATTTTTGAAGGTCAGTCGCAGTCAGGACAATTAATTCTGTAATTAGCCTTCAATTCAATGCAGCCAGCCTGAATGGGTAACAAGTACAACTTAGTTTACGAGCATACCTCTGTACCTGCATGCCTGGGGGTCTAGTATAGTTTGGTACCGGTAGTCTACCACAAGTACTTCCAGTGGGCATAGCATAACGAATTTTGCATATGCTATTACCACTGTGAAGCTAGTAGCAATTTGACCTTTGTGTGCGGCGAAGCGGAAAGGTGAATATTGGCAGCAGAAATGAAGGAGTGTCATAATCTACATCCGAAAAAATGTAGAAAAACGAATTTAGAATACGATCAATGGGAAGATACTAATCATTTACGATAAATTAACATCTACAAAGCAAAAAATAACAATAAATTACATGATAAACAATGAAAAAACAATAAAAATGACACGAATTTTATTTAACTTCCTTCGAAATAGCAGATGAGCAATTCCTAAATCAAGTCAAGTTGTACAGTAAACAAAACTAAGGATGGATGACGAGTTTAAAAAATGGGGAGTCAGCGTACCCCCATAGGAGAACATAAGCCTTCCAAATTTTAAAACCTAGGGTTTCTCATAGCTAAAAAACGTCCTTATTCGGAAAATTACCTATAGCTAAAAAAGCTGATTTAGTCAAATTTCAAAGCCTAGCAGCACATCCTTCCGCCCAAGAGGCATCCGATTGATTATTTATTATTAAAGAGGTTTATCTGAGTTATTCACACAACTCGAACCTAAGTCTTGTTTTTATTAGAATCTAGGGTATTATCGAAGCGAAAATGGCCTATTTTTGAAAATTTGCGTATAGCGAAAAAAGCTGATTTAGCCAAATTTCAAAGCCTAGCAGCACGCCCTTCCGCCCAAGAGGCATCCGATTTGATTAATTTATTATTAAAGATGTTTATCTGAAGTTTTTCACACATCTTGAACCTAAGCCTTGTTTTTATTAGAATTTAGGGTATTATCGAAGCGAAAATGGCCTTATTTGGAAAAATTACTTATAGCGAAAAAAGCTGATTTAGCCAAATTTCAAAGCCTAGCAGCACACCCTTCCGCCCAAGAGGCATCCGATTTGATTATTTATTATTAAAGAGGTTTATCTGAAGTTTTTCACACAACTCGAACCTAAGCCTTGTTTTTATTAGAATCTAGGGTATTATCGAAGCGAAAATGGCCCATTTTGGAAAAATTACGTATAGCGAAAAAATCTGATTTAACCAAATTTCAAAGCCTAGCAGCACACCCTTCCGCCCAAGAGGCATCCGATTTGATTATTTATTATTAAAGAGGTTTATCTGAAGTTTTTCACACAACTCGAACCTAAGCCTTGTTTTTATTAGAATCTAGGGTATTATCGAAGCGAAAATGGCCTTATTTGGAAAAATTACTTATAGTCAAAAAAGCTGATTTAGCCAAATTTCAAAGCCTAGCAGCACATCCTTCCGCCCAAGAGGCATCCGATTTGATTATTTATTATTAAAGAGGTTTATCTGAAGTTTTTCACACAACTCGAACCTAAGCCTTGTTTTTATTAGAATCTAGGGTATTATCGAAGCGAAAATGGCCCATTTTGGAAAAATTACGTATAGCGAAAAAAGCTGATTCAACCAAATTTCAAAGCCTAGCAGCACACCCTTCCGCCCAAGAGGCATCCGATTTGATTGTTTATTATTAAAGAGGTTTATCTGAAGTTTTTCACACAACTCGAACCTAAGCCTTGTTTTTATTAGAATCTAGGGTATTATCGAAGCGAAAATGGCCCATTTTGAAAAAATTACGTATAGCGAAAAAAGCTGATTCAATCAAATTTCAAAGCCTAGCAGCACACCCTTCCGCCCAAGAGGCATCCGATTTGATTATTTATTATTAAAGATGTTTATCTGAAGTTTTTCACACAGTTCGAACCTAAGCCTTGTTTTTATTAGAATCTAGGGTATTATCGAAGCGAAAATGGCCTTCATTTGAAAAAATTACTTATAGCGAAAAAAGCTGATTTAACCAAATTCAAAGCCTAGCAGCACACCCTTCCGCCCAGAGGCATCCGATTTGATTATTTATTATTAAGAGGTTTATCTGAGTTTTTCACACAACTCGAACCTAAGCCTTGTTTTTATTTAGAATCTAGGGTATTATCGAAGCGAAAATGGCCCTTTTTGAAAAATTACGTATAGCGAAAAAAGCTGATTCAATCAAATTTCAAAGCCTAGCAGCACACCCTTCCGCCCAAGAGGCAATCCGATTTGATTATTTTATTTTAAAGAGGTTTATCTGAAGTTTTTTCACACAACTCGAACCTAAGCCTTGTTTTTATTAGAATCTAGGGTATTATCGAAGCGAAAATGGCCCATTTTGAAAAATTACGTATAGCGAAAAAAGCTGATTCAATCAAATTTCAAAGCCTAGCAGCACACCCTTCCGCCCAAGAGGCAACTTCAGATAAACCTCTTTTAATAATAAATAATCAAATCGGATGCCTCTTGGGCGGAAGGGTGTGCTGCTCGGCTTTGAAATTTGGCTAAATCAGCTTTTTTCGCTATACGTAATTTTTCTAAAATGGGCCATTTTCGCTTCGATAATACCCTAGATTCTAATAAAAACAAGGCTTAGGTTCGAGTTGTGTGAAAAACTTCAGATAAACATCTTTAATAATAAATAATCAAATCGGATGCCTCTTGGGCGGAAGGGTGTGCTGCTAGGCTTTGAAATTTGATTGAATCAGCTTTTTTCGCTATACGTAATTTTTTCAAAAATGGGCCATTTTCGCTTCGATAATACCCTAGATTCTAATAAAAACAAGGCTTAGGTTCGAGTTGTGTGAAAAACTTCAGATAAACCTCTTTAATAATAAACAATCAAATCGGATGCCTCTTGGGCGGAAGGGTGTGCTGCTAGGCTTTGAAATTTGGTTAAATCAGCTTTTTTCGCTATAAGTAATTTTTCCAAATAAGGCCATTTTCGCTTCGATAATACCCTAGATTCTAATAAAAACAAGCTTAGGTTCGAACTGTGTGAAAACTTCAGATAAACATCTTTTAATAATAAATAATCAAATCGGATGCCTCTTGGGCGGAAGAGTGTGCTGCTAGGCTTTCAAATTTGGCTAAATCAGATTTTTTCGCTATAAGTATTTTGAACATAGGGCATTTTGTCTGTGACAATACTCGAATTTTTAAAATTTTGCAGGATTGTTTCGAGTTGTATGAAAAACTTAAGGTACCCTCTTAATTATTGAATAGTTGAATCTCGTGCCTCTTGGGCGGAATGGCTTTGTATTAGGATTTGAAAATGGTAATTTTACCCTCTTTTTGGCTGCTTGGATTTGTAAATGGTAATCTTTACCATTTTTTGACATATGTGATTTTAACAAATGAATCCATTTTCGCTGTGAGAATACTCTAAATTCTAAAATTCGAAAAGCTTTGTCCCAAGTTGCGAAATACTTCAGTTAGCCCTTTTTTTCTATTAAATATTGAAACTTTGACTACTATTGACGGATAAGGGCATGCTGCTTGGAATATTATACGTCATACGACGTAAAATAAACCAACTTTTGAATTCACGTAATCGAGACATATTGAAATAAAACAATAACTCCTTTACGCTCTGATTACTGCCTATATACCACAAAATGCATGTGAAAATTCTGAAATAACCAAGATATAATAATGAAATTCAACCATTGTTACGTCATACAATACACAATTTATACGAAGTAATAACTCGTGTACGGCAATCAAATTTTTAATAATTTACTTAGGCTTTGAAGATTTCTAAGTCATTCATTTGTCCATCTCATTGTTGGAATTAACACTTGAGGAAATAAGCACATGCAAATGGGAACGCGTTAAATTTTCATAGACGATTT